AAAGCGTCTTCGAGCTCATGTCGAGTGCCATTGTTTCCGAGTTCCCCGACGTATACCTTGCAGTCCAGTGGACACGACTCCCGACCCCCGTATGAGCGCGACATCATTCACAGCCAATCGACCGCTTATTACCACTTATTATATGAATACGTAATCAACAAAACAAACACAAAACGGGTCCAAAAATGTCTGTTTATCTGTGAATACACAGAAAGTATCGTTTGTTTTGTGTGTTGTGTGTATAAAAAGGTTCATAAATAGTGTAACAAACTGTACATAAGTGCATACAAAGCACCCATACATTCAATACGGTGGCAATGGATCCGTCATATTTACTGTGACGTATGCCCTGCACATATTTACTACTGTGTATATTCCACATAGCTAGCATGTTTTTGGTTATTGCATTTGGTGTGATATAAATTATGTTTAAAGTAGTTTTAAGGTGATCATTGAGATATATTTAAGTTTTTATCTGTTGCATGGTAATTTAATTGTTTGAATTAGTTTGTTAAATGTGTTCCAGTTGCTTTTTTTTGGTGTGATATAAATTATGTTTAAAGTAGTTTTAAGGTGATCATTGAGATATATTTAAGTTTTTATCTGTTGCATGGTAATTTAATTGTTTGAATTAGTTTGTTAAATGTGTTCCAGTTGCTTTTTAAAAGTTGTTGTGCATGCTAGAGCCATCTATTAGTAAGCAAATAATGGGAACGGTATTTAATAGCACTTTTAAAAAGGACTTGGCGCTTAAAATTGTATCAATTTACAAACATCCATTTTTGTATAGTATACTAATTTTGCATTAAATGTTACCTGATAATAATTCTTGTTATTTTTTATAGAAAATATTTATTATTAAATCTATATTTTTAAAAAAGTTATTATATTTTAATAATTTTATTCACATATTATATTAAGAATTTAGACCTTGTTTAGGATTTTACTTTAGTGTATAGCCTTATGTAATATTTTTTGTACTCATTAGTTATCTCATATGATATGAAGTGTCTCTTAAAGTCAATGGAGATTATCTCTATATCTCAAGAAATTTTATATATTGTAATTTNCGACGTCGGGTCTATGACGGGAATGGGGCCCAGAGTCGGCACTTTCTTGAAATCCGCACATTCCTTGCATTTGTACGGAAAGTCATCACAACTCGGATTAGATTTAATAAATTGGTTGAAACTATCTGTCATTTTGTCCGCATCTTTATGATCGCATTTCGCCTTTTAATGCAATTATTATTATTATTCATATCACAAAATAGTTAGTTTACTCATATATTTGTTAATTAAATACAACATAAGCTTATTTAGCATTCATATAATTAGCATGCTAATATAACTGACCTGGACTATAGTTACGATGCCATCAAACCAGTCGTATGGGTAGCAACAGGTAAACAAGTGGTCATCTCTTGTCTTATTTTTGGTCACTTTGTCATTGTTTTTCATGAGTGTATCCCATTCACTGGTTATCCGATTAGAGCACCGGTCGATCTCCAATTTGGTTTTAGCCCAACATTCCTTAGACAAACCAAGAATACCTGGATCTAAAGGTCCGATATCACCATACACGAGTTGCAAAATTGCAATTATATAACAAGCAACTTTTAGCATTTTAGGAATATAACTCTCGATAGTAAGTAAATTACAATTAAAAAATAAATTACTTATTATCTGCTTTAAGTTAACATTTTATAATTAATCAGAATTTTGTGGACAATCTGTTGTTTTCCCAAACATTTTAGAGTTAATATATAATACCTTTTCAATTGAATCGACTATACTTTGATTCACTTAAGGTTATTAAAAATCATTTCATTTTAAATTAGTGATAAAATGTGGAAAATTTTATTTTAAAAATAGGTCTTATTTAGTATTGTGTTATTGAGATAGATAACATTGTCCTAGTAGAATCTAGCTATACAAAATATTTTTCAATGAGATTGTTTAATAGCAGTTAAATACCGGTAATATTTCTGTACTAAAAATGTAACTATTTTTAAAAATGATAGTACTGTTGAGTAAATTAAATTAAATTGTTTATTTAGAAATTATTTATTAAATAAGTACAGTATTGAATACAGTATTTTAATAACATTAACATTATTGAATAGATAGTTTTATAAAAGATTATTTAAATTACTAGCTCATAAGTACTACAAATTAATGATAGGATTTTAAATTATTATCACAAAAAATAAATGATAAAATTAATAATTACAGCATTTCATTTTTATTTTCATAAATATAAACCAATTATTTTTGGAAAATAATCAGAAACATAATTAATTTTATGGGTAAATAAGACTACAATTATAGCTTCAAACATGATTCGCATCATTAATATTCAGATTATTTGTTAATTTACGAGATTTATTGGCAAAACATAGACTAGAATTAAAAATGTCATCAGTATTGGGGGTAAAACTTATATAATTATGTCATTATTTATATAGCGTTAGAGATATTGAGAGTAAAACTTTTTTTTATATTAATCGTATAATAAAATATAAATTCAAATAATATCCAAAAACTAATCGTTTGATTGGAAGATGTGTCGGATATACCGTTTGACAACATAATAGGAGTTCCCAAAACCCCCCTTTCTCTCACTTGTAGGGCGGGTGATTGGCCTCGACGTCGTGTATAGGACTGGGCACCGACTGTCGGGGGGCACTGCCGTCGATGTTCTCGTAGGAGCCGCGACCGGTGTTTCCGCCACCACCGGCGGGGCCACCGCTCGGGTTAAGGCCTCCCAGACCGGGGAATCCGAAGGTCGAGTATCTGCCGTTCCTCTCGTTATATATGCGTAAGAGAACCAGTGATGTGATCGGCCGAAGCATCAGGTTTGTGATGGCCATACTGTGCGGCACAGGTAGACAAAGGGGTCAGCAGTCGGTACAACACTTACACGTTAAACTAAATAATTAGGACGTGCGATCAGGGATGGCATTAATCGGCTTATAGTATAGTTATGTATTATTATAACTAGTTATCCTAGTAGCGATTAATGGCATCCCTGTCCCCATCCATATTCTGACATATCATACGAGTGGTACTCATATGGGGAATGGCTTACAATATGCTGAACCCAAACCAGGGCCGGTTGTGGGCGTCGTCATAGTAGACGCCGATAGTAATGGCGTCCAAAATGATGGACAAGAGGTTGATGAGAGTGGCGATGAGGATGGGGTCGTGTGAGTCGCGTGAATGCATTGACCACAAGAGGCAGAGCATGAAAAAGGTGTTGTAAAACATGTACGACGCCGGCAGCCAATTGCCTATAAGACACCTGTCCGAGCATCACAACACAAGCATTAGTATGGTTTGTATCGATAGAGTAGGTCTCACGTGAAATTTAATTAGCAAGCAAGGTTTTCAAAAGCATGTTTTTGATAGTATAGGGGGTTATGTATGTAGGGGTTGAGGGGTGGGTGCGATCCGTACCAACAAATCAACATAAAGTGTCCCAAAAACACGGCCTTAAGAGGCGCTTCATTGAGGGCCTGCAGTGCATCCATGTCTGTGCGGCTCCGGGATGTGTGGGCTTCGGTAGGTCTACACACTTATGGTCCGATCGTTTCGTTGTATTTCTGGTCAATACTTATTGCTGTTTACGAGTGCTTTGGGTATTAGTTAGGCATTCAATGTGTGGACAAACACCTCGAGTGGACAGTAGGTTGTGTCGAGTGGACCAGATCTACAAAATAGTATAAAAAGCAACCATGTTCATTTAATTGAATTGCAACATTGTATGGCAATATAAAAAGTGCCATCATACATATTAATATTACTTACATAACATACAGTGATATTACAGTTAATAATTAAAAACACTTTGTATTAATCATACGTTTGTGTATGCATTCAATGTGTAAACACTTTTTCCCATAGATATATACATATACATACAGTCAATGAGAGTTAGTTTTATGTAATTATTTTACGATTAAAAAGTAATTTTTAGGTTTAAATCAAATGTTAGACAAAAAATGTTTTCATACAAATAGACACACGCTATACGATTAACTCAAATCTTAATTATACGACAATACCAGTGGTAATGAGAGTCACAATTAGTTTGGCGTAGACTTTAATACCCGGATTAATATCGCTGTTACTATTGATTCAAAATAATTAGCGTTTTGTTGGATTCAGTGTATGTTTAAGCGATAAGTCTGTCAACAATCATAACATCGACTGATGCTTACAGTCGGAGTCAACACCTATTATAACGCCATCCCATGTGTTACACCACTATTGCTATAGATTTAAGGGGCGCTTCGTATAAATGAAACTTTCATGATTAAGTTTTAATAGAAATTTTACCTTGGTAGTATTTAATTTTAAAGCTATTTCCAATAAATTAAATTTATCAGATGTTGTTTTGCGTGTTACATGATTTAATAAGTGTTGGCTTAACAATGAGTTTATTATGTGTAATGTTTTAACGGACTATTTGTACGATAAGACTGAATAGAGATAATAATTTGACTGATTTTATGAACATTGAATAAATGTTTGACTTATTGTCTGAATTTATTTCCAAAATACTGTTCATAACGATAACTATATATAAATTAGTTGTCACCTTATTTTTACAGGTATTAGAAACCACTGTAAAACTTGATCAGTGCACTACTTTTATTGTCAAAATACTAATCATATTGAAAAATTATTATTTTAATGTATTTAATTGTAATTATTTTGTGCAATAAAGTTATATAAAAATTATGAAAACTTGTAATAAATGCAAAAAACAAACCGCCGAAACCCGGGATCGAACCAGGGACCTTTAGATCTTCAGTCTAACGCTCTCCCAACTGAGCTATTTCGGCGCATAGTGTGCAAGGTGATTAAGGCATTACATGTCAAACACTCATTTACTTTAATTATTTTATCAATTCATGTAAAGATTAAAGTGTTTATAATTCACTATAGATTTGATAAGCTTATGGAAACAACTCAAATTTTCCCACAATATAAACTAACTATTAGGCAAATAATCTCTCTCTCTCTCTCTCTGACTCTCTCTCTCTCTCTCTCTCTCGCAAAACAATTAATTAATTAATTCTTAAATGTATTAAACAGACAATAATTAAGACAATGTATCGTATGTTTCAAAAAATTTATTATCCATTTGGAAGTCACTAAAGATATGATGGAAATAAAGGACACGAAATGGTAGTTATATTTATATAATTATAAAAAACTAGTTTTAAAACACAAAATATCGTTTAAAATATCTCTTTAAAAGTGAAAAATATCGTCAAATTTAGAGAAATAAAATATTTAAATAAAAAATTTAAAAATCAAAAATGAGTGTAAACTATATCAGGTATACGTTTGTCGACAGCAACTTTGTGTCCACATAATTATTATCAATATTATTAAAAATTAAGGTAAAAGTTGAGGTGCGAGGTGTGGCTGCACTGGCAGATAGTCAGTGGACAGGCATATAACCAGCGGGTGAGATGGGATGGTGTGTCTAATACTTGATGTAGCGGTTGTCCTGTCGGGGAGACTTAGCTATGGGAGACCTGGATCGCGAGCGACTCGGTGGCGTACGGGGTCGACCACCACCACCCCTGGGCATCATTGGCGACATGGATCGGCTGTTTGACCTTTTGGTACGGGAGCACAAGAGTTAGACATACCGTATAATAGATACTATTTGCTGTTTAGGTGTTTGGATGAGTTGAATGTTTTTTGGTTAATACTATTGTACCACTAATATAGTCAAAGTGTTTGAAAAATATAAAACTCTGATTAAAAATAGTTTATAAATATCTTTGATTTTTTCAGACGATTGTTGAGCCGCTTTTAGTCTAGTGATTAGCTAATGATATAAAAATATATGTCTGTATTAGGAGTTACAGGTGTGTGGAGTATAGGAGTAGACAAATGTTATGCTGGGCTGAGATGTCTGTGTTTTTTGGTACTGAAGAGTAGAGTTAGAGGTGACTATCAAAAAGTTTTTTGGGGACAATATTCGCGGATATAATATGCAAGGGGTTGACAGTCGCGGTTGCATTTTGGGACTACACTCTGAATACATAAATCATGGGTTGAGATGTAATTGTGAGCTGAGCTGAGCTGACAAAACGACATGAATTTTGCGCTGATTTTTGTGTCGTTTATTGTATTATTTGCTGAGAATTTCAGACAAGTTTTGCCGTAATATTGATCCCTAACTACAATACATATGACCAACAAATGGACAAATGGTGTGTTAGGCCGCCGGACGTGTGATGAGCAGAGCTGAGCAGAGCAGTGGACAGGCCTACTGAGAGCACCGGTGGCTGGCACGAAGACAGAGGAGGAGCACAGGTATGTGTTATTTGTGCGATTCATTTGAGAAATGTGTTGCAGAGATGAGTGGATATGTTTGCGGATTAATGAATGAGTAGTCGATTGGGGGTTAAGGAGACGGATGTTGGTTCGCGAGCCCCGGTACGTACTGCTACGTACGGATGGATATGTATGCAAAAACTTGTCGAAATCCACAATAAAAATACAAATCAATATAAAATAATCCTATCTTTTAGATGATACCCTCTTTAAAGGTCACGCGTAGAAAACTACCGGTGCCTTGACATTGAGGGCAATATGCCTCAAAACTAAGCCACACTTTCATCTCAAATGAAGAAAAATTTTTTGAAGACAGTATAGGTCGTGAACCGCAAGTTATGCAAATCTGTTGTGATTATGTCTAGAGCCTGGCCTTGAGTACTCACCTACTCAACTAGTAATCGACTTAACCTCCCGACTCTCCTCTGTGTGGAGGCGCACAGGAGGTTATATGTCTGGTGTCAGACATATAAGCCCTTCAGATATAATGTCATATTATATCATGTATTTCATGGCATTCCCTAAAATTCCTGTCATTTTTAAGTCATAAAGAAGTCAATCAAATGTCGACTCGACTGCGGTTTCAAACTGATAGTTGACTGCAATTTAATGGCACTTAATGTGGGCCTAAAATAATGGTCAGAATTATGTGTTATTCCGTGAAATCAGTGATTAAAAAGCATTCAATTAATAATCATATGAAATAAAAATAAAAATAAAAATTAGGAGAAAATAAAAGAATTACAAAAATATTGACACAAAAATAGACATCAATTGAGAGCTAAAGCAAGACAACCAATGATTGCATTTCGCAAACACTTCAACATAGAGTTAAACACCCATTGAAATCAAGACAATTAAGACACGTTGTGTAGTATAAAGTGACTAAAAAGTTAATTAATTATTTTCAAATATAAATTATTTCCTGATTATACAGCACACTCTCCCATAACATAGTGTAAGCCCTCATATGGTAAACCAAATTAACTACAAATAAACCGAAATATCACTAACTATGAGATCTGAATCACTGAAACCCCCTAATTATATACACTATTTTACAAAGTCTTACACTATAGAGAGAGTTGAGTTCACTGTATATGGTATTCATAATACGATAAAATTAATATCAATATAACTACAGGCGATGTATGCATACCTGGAGTACCGTCTCCTGCCGTACCGATCAGTGCTACCTCTGCTGCCGCCGCCATAGGGGTCGCCACGTCTGGAGCCCCCGCGCGGCGATTCGCGTCCATAACCGCGCGACTCGCGCGGGGGTCCGCCATAACTGCCGCCACC